TTGAACTTGTCCTGCCTTGCCCCCAAAGTTGTACTGCTTTCCTGTAAGTAACAGGTTTAACCCCCTTTTAGGTCAGTTTACATCTCAATGGCTTCTGATTAAGCAAGCTGTGAGGTGTGCTTGAGTTCCCAGCCCCAGCACCCCGAGTTGAACCTCCAATCTCCCCACTCTGATCAGTGAAACCTGACCCAGGGGACCCCCAGCAGGGCCAGGTGAGAGGCTGATCTTCCTCCAGTGCCCGGTGCTGATGGGTCGAGGTCTCCCACAGTACTACAGCTTCAGCCTGCTGCCAGCAGGGAGGAAGGGTGCCACACAGGAAGGCAGGCATGGGTGAACCTGCTCAGAGGCAAAGGCCAGCCTATACAGTGGTCACCCGGAAGGAGGGGAGAGCAGAGGGCCCCCCTTGTGTGCTCCACCTCCTTGGAGGCCCCACAGCTGGAGGAAGGCACCCTGCAGTCAGACCAGTTCTCATCTGCCCACACGGGGATGTGAGTCTTCATTGCAGCTTCTCTTACCAACACTCCGTGCCAACCAACGTCCTCAAAGATACCTCCAGCAACACCAAGAGGCATGTCCTAGAGCACTGTCCTAGGGCATCCCTCGGTACAGGGGACTCTGGCCATCGGGGCGGGCGGGAAATGGCCTTACTGTCTTCACCACCACCGCGGCCACCTTCCTCATCACCATCATTACAGCACTTCCAGTTTACTAAGTGGACATACTGAGCTGGGTACTTCACCCTTGCCTTACAGTTTTATATTGTTACCCCAAAGGCCAAGTCGGGGCTTCTTTCCCCAGGGATCTATATGAAATTATATGGATAGCTCCCCAACCCACAGTACACACTTAAATTCCAAAGTCAATGGGTATCCAAAGGCCTCCCCCCATATCATTTCTACTAAATTTGGCGGGCGGGGAAGAGGTTTTCATTTCTCATGGACTTTCTGCCCCATGGGTCTCCACTTCCAAGAGCAGCCTCGTTTGTTCTGTCCCATGGCCCCCCATTTCCTAGAGCAGAATCTGTTCTGCCAAGTCATGGCTGGTGGAAAACTCAGTCCATTCCTAGTTTCCACAGACACTGCCCCTCACACAGGCCGTCCTGCTGAGGTGGCCTCTGCTCTGACCTGAGGGTCAAAGCAGACTCATGCTGCAGGCTTCTGCCACTCGGTCCGGATGCCGTCCTGTTCCTTCCCCCAGCTCTGTACTTGATGCTCTCCCCCAGAGGAACTCCCTTCCCTGCAGAGAAAAATCCAGCTCTCCCAGCTCCTTCCTCCAAATGCACACATCTGGTTCCATCATGAAGCTCAGAACAAAGGGCCTCCCCCAGGCACAGTCTTCTCTCCCTACGAGGCAGGTGGGTTATGAACCGCCAGCTTTCCTGCTGGCCATCCACAGAGTCAGACAGTTACCTTGTCTCCTGCTACTGGATCGTAAGTTCCTGGAGGGCAGGGACATGCTGTCTTGCTCTCTACAGTGTCCACAGCACCTAGCACAGTGCTTGGCACCTGTTGGCCCCCCTGAGACCGACCAAAGTCCCTGCTTGTTCGGAAGCAGTATAGCCACAAGCCACAAGCCAGATAAATCCTAAGTGTCTTCAGGAGGATGACAGTTTTAGGAGACACTGATTCATTGATGGTTTTTTTTTTTTGGCATAGGAGAGACTTGACATGATTTTATTAAACAAACATTTGTTGATCATTTCCTATGTGCAGCATGCTGCCTGTGGCGCTGGGGTAGCTCTGCCCGTGAGGTCCCACCACTGATGTAAGACACACACACTGCTGATTGCCAAGCAGTAGAAAAGGCAAATATTGCTGAATATGGATAAAGGGATCCCAGAAGGAATGGATTCCATGTTGGGGTCGGAAGTTACATCCTTTACAGAGGATATAACATTTGAATGGGCATTTGAGTGAAAAGTAGGGGGGCCTGGTAGTGCCTGGTGCCCTCTGAGAGTAGGGAGTTGTCAGAAGGAGAAATGTGCCTGGAGCAGGTCAGAGAGAGGTACCGGGGCTGTGTTGAACTTGTCCTGCCTTGCCCCCAAAGTTGTACTGCTTTCCTGTAAGTAACAGGTTTCATTACAGCAATGTTTAAGCTTAATTCCTTGTGTCCATTCCTCCCTCCATCCATGCCAGGGGAAAAGCAGGGGGCAGGATGAGTGAAAATCTTTAAGATGTGTGCTTCTCTTGATTAGCGCCCCCCAGGACACGGACTTTCTGGCTCCCTGGAGTCTAAGGGGAGAAAAGAGTGGATTGAAAATGAGAAAATACTTGTGTGAAGGAATAAAAAGCAGCTGGAAGGATAACATTCATTTGGAGATGGGATGAATAAAAGAGATAAAATCCTAAATAAATGTCTTGCATGGTACCAATTGCGTTTTAAGAGCTACCACCAGAGAACAGATAAAACGATGCTGTATTTCATTAGTGGCTCCCTTAATTCTACAGCATTTGCCACAAGCTCTATTAAAGTACTCTTTAATTAAAGACCAGTTCTGGGTCCTGTAATTTAGAGCGTTATCAAAATATGGCAAGTGACTGCAGGTAAGGAAATGGAAACAAATACCACTTTCATGAGGTTCTTGTAGATCACACAGAATGTGATTAGCCTTTGTACTGCCCCTGTCAGAGGGCTCTGTCCACAGCAGTATTTTTCCATTTGATGGGCAACCAGTTATAATTTCATCATCCGCAGGAGTGTGGATGGAGAATTATATCAGTTCTTTGTTTAGATGGACTTTTTTATTGCTATATAATTCTCATAACATAAAATTACCATGTTAAAGTGCATAATTTAGTGATTTTTAGTATATTCATAATGTTGTATGACAATTACCACTAATCCCAGAACATTTTCATTACCCCACAAAGAAACCCATGCCTATTAGCAGTCAGTCCCCATTCCTGCCCACCCAGCCCCCAGCCCAGCCCCTGGCAACTGTTAATCTACTTTCTGCCTCTATAGATATGCCTATTCTGGACACTTCATATAAATGGAGTCATACAATATGTGGTCTTTTGTGACTGGCTTCTTTTTCTTAAAATATTCTCAAGGTTTATCATGTTGTAACGTGTATCAGTATTTCATTCCTGTTGTCTGGCTATCCCACATATCGATTTATTCATCTGTTAATGAACATTTGCATTATTTCTACTTTTTGGCTATTGTGAATAATGCTGCTATAGACATTCATGTACAGGTTTTTGTGTGAATGTATGTCTTCAGTGTTCTCTAGGTGTATACTTAGGAGGAGAATTGCTGGATCATAAGGTAACTTTAAGCGTAACCTGAGGAGCTGCCAGACTGTTTTCCACAGCTGCTCCATTTTATACTCCCCCCAGCAGTGTATGAGAGCTCTGGTTTCTCCAGATCCTTGCTGACACTTGCTATTGTCCACTGCTTTTTATTATAGCCACCTGAAAGGTGACAAGTGGTCTCTTGTTGTGGTTATATTTATCCTTTAATCATGAAGGTAACCATCCTTTGCCTCTGCTCTTTGTGGTGAACCATGTAGATTCTCTAAGCATTAGGTCAGTGGGAGACTGTCTTTGGACCTGCTTCTGTTTCTTCTGCCATGGGAACTGCCTGGAGACACCCTTCTGATCCAGAACAATAGTGGGGGTCTGTGGGGGTAAAGTGGATTGAATCCAAATCCTGATTCTGAGACAGGGACCGTGGGTATAGTCAGAGTAGTGTGAGGGCCTCTGGAAAAAGCAAGGCAGGATATTTACAGTCAGAGCAATGTAACTACATGCAAGGAAACCCCCTACCAAAACTCTGTGTTAAACTTTAAGCTCTAGAGTCATTCTTCAGTGAGCTCAGTTAATATTCCCCAGATAAAGAAGATTCATTTTAGCCTGCTAAAAGGCCCAGGTGTATATGCTGTTTTTCCTCCAGACCTGATGAGGTGATTTGCGATTTGGGCAATTAATAATGGCAAGCAAGCCTAGCCTTAAACAACACAGTAAAAGGCAGAAAGGATTCCACCTTAAAGATAAGATTTCATTTTAATGCCCAGGAAGGTAAGAAGTAAGATTCTTTATTAATTTTTTATTAATTAATTAATTAATTTTGTTGTCATTAATCTACAATTACATGAAGAATATTAGGATCATAAGGTAACTTTAAGCGTAACCTGAGGAGCTGCCAGACTGTTTTCCATAGCTGCTCCATTTTATACTCCCCCCAGCAGTGTATGAGAGCTCTGGTTTCTCCAGATCCTTGCTGACACTTGCTATTGTCCACTGCTTTTTATTATAGCCACCTGAAAGGTGACAAGTGGTCTCTTGTTGTGGTTATATTTATCCTTTAATCATGAAGGTAACCATCCTTTGCCTCTGCTCTTTGTGGTGAACCATGTAGGTTCTCTAAGCATTAGGTCAGTGGGAGACTGTCTTTGGACCTGCTTCTGTTTCTTCTGCCATGGGAACTGCCTGGAGACACCCTTCTGATCCAGAACAATAGTGGGGGTCTGTGGGGGTAAAGTGGATTGAATCCAAATCCTGATTCTGAGACAGGGACCGTGGGTATAGTCAGAGTAGTGTGAGGGCCTCTGGAAAAAGCAAGGCAGGATATTTACAGTCAGAGCAATGTAACTACATGCAAGGAAACCCCCTACCAAAACTCTGTGTTAAACTTTAAGCTCTAGAGTCATTCTTCAGTGAGCTCAGTTAATATTCCCCAGATAAAGAAGATTCATTTTAGCCTGCTAAAAGGCCCAGGTGTATATGCTGTTTTTCCTCCAGACCTGATGAGGTGATTTGCGATTTGGGCAATTAATAATGGCAAGCAAGCCTAGCCTTAAACAACACAGTAAAAGGCAGAAAGGATTCCACCTTAAAGATAAGATTTCATTTTAATGCCCAGGAAGGTAAGAAGTAAGATTCTTTATTAATTTTTTATTAATTAATTAATTAATTTTGTTGTCATTAATCTACAATTACATGAAGAATATTATGTTTACTAGGGTCCCCCCTTCACCACCACCCCCCTATAAACCCCATTACAGTACTGTCCATCAGTGTAGTAAGATGCTGTAGAATCACTACTTGTCTTCTCTGTGTTGCACAGCCCTCCCCATGCGCCCCCCTCCCGCCACATTGTAAGAAGTAAGATTCTTAACTTACTCTTTAGCAAACAGACAATACCTTAGCCCACCTTGGTCCCAGACCAAGACGCTGGTATCTCAAGGAGAAATCAGAGCAGGAAGTTCCTTGTGTTGTTAATTCTAAATATTCAGGGACCACTTAACAAGCCCGCACCCCTAAGTCCGTTATCCGATTCCCCCAAATCCTCAACTGCCTATAAAACCCCTAGACAACGCACTACGGGCTCTCTTGTGCCTTGGAGCTCTGTCCTCTCTCTGTATCTCTAAATAAAAGCCTCTTTTTGGCTCTCCTACCTCGGGTGTTTGCTAAGTTCATTCTTCGAATCTGCAAACAAGAACCCCGGCATCACTACCGGCCCTTCCTCTTTGCACATCACCTCTCCTGCGGGACCCTCTGTGCACCCCATGCCATCCTGTACCACGCATGTGTCCAGTCAGGTCACCTCCACGTCGCCATCGCTAAACTGGGAAACTGAGGCACAGAGCGGCAAGGTCAGGAGCTGCGGTCACGCAGAGTCCTCCCAGCACCTCCCCTCCCACTGGCGGCTGAGGCTGTTGTCAGAGGGCGGCAGACTCAGGCCCAAGGTGCGCACTTGCGCGCCCACCCCGGGGTGAGGCTGCAGGTCTTCCGGGCGTCCCCTCCCCATGGAGCCCACCCCGCACTGGGGAACCCCCCAGGACGCCCCGGGTTGGGGGATGTAGAGCCGGGTTCGACTCCCCCGGACCCAGACACACGGGAACCCATGGGCGGGGTGGAGAAGCTTCAACCCGGAGGAAAGTAATGCGGGCTCCACTGGCTCGTCCTGATCTGGTCCTGAGCCCTCCCATGGGATCCCCCCCAGCCAGACCTGCGTACTACTGTACGCCTGCACTGGCCGTAGCAGGTGTCCACAAGAGAACGCGAGATGTCCGGAGACCTACGGGGCGCCCGCAGCTCGCGGGCGCCATGTGCGCATGCGCGTGCCCGGGCTCCGCGTGGGTGCACAAGTGGGCGCGCACTCCAGTGGACTGGGCATGTGCATGTCGCCCCTGGGCTTGGCGCGTGTGCGCGCGCGCTGTCCACACGGTCCCGGCGTGTTCGCACGTGCGGGTCACTCTCAGGTCTCGTGGCGCATTTTGCTCCTGTTTGATCTGTTCCCTGCCCTGAGGCACTGGGCCCCCGCACACGTTTCCATGTGCTGTCCAGCATATCCGTGCCTGCGCATGTCCTGGCGAACATGCTCTGGCATGTTTACTCATGTCCGCACACGTGCGTGTCCATGGCACAGATCACCCTGTGTTAGCGCTGGCTCCCAAGCGGTCCTCTCACCCACCAAGGGTTTCTTTCCCTTGCCGTCCCGGTCCCGATATGGCTGCTGCTTGTAGCCCCATGAAGGGCTGAGCTCATAAAGGCACAGTTGATGTCTGTCACCCTTTGGGAACCCCATGAACAGCCCAGAAGCCCCATGATTATGGGAAATTTATGCCTGCCTGCCTCCAACAACCCAGCTACAGCCCACCAGCCCTGGGTGGAGGTTCACCATTAAGGCAGTTGCTAAGCCCAGCAGGGACCCTACCTGATACCCTACCCACCCACTGCATCTTCACTCCCAAGGTCCCACCTCCGTACGCTTCCCACTCCACCCTCTAGAACTCCTATTCATCCAGCGGGACCCTCCCTTATTGGCCCCTCTTCTGGGACACCTTCCCTAGTCTCTTGGGCATGAATAGAGGAGAGGCCACCAGGGAGCACAGGCAGGGTGCCCCAATGCTCACAGAGCTGTGGAGAGACCTTTTGTGGGGGCTGTTGCCTCTGGGCTTCCAGGCCAAGTCTGCAGACAGGAGCCTGTAGTTGTGGCTCATCACAGGTGGACCTCCAAGGATGGGTGAATACTGGTTTCAGACCCCACCCTGCAGCTATAAGCATAGCTGACAGGCTGCCCAGGGAGCTCTAGTGTGAAGACTGTTCACTGTTGCTGTGGCTCCCTTCCTCTTTCCCTCTCTGTCCTTCTGCCACCCTACCCCCTCTACCCCCGGCCCGGGCCAATTTCACCGCCCGGCCCACCCCCAGTCCCCTAGGACCATCTCCTTGGCAACTGTGGTCAAGGGGTCAGCTGCTCCATCAATTGCCTCTCACCCTTGCAGCCCTGACAAGGACCCTGAAGGTGATAAGGAAGTGGGGTCAGGCCTGGGTGTCTGGGTTGGGGGGAAAACACTGTGGGGTTAGGACAGAGGTTCCTCAGACAGGGCAGGGAGGGTGTGGGGAACTGAGCGGGGACGCCAGTGGGGGCAGCAGCATATGTACAATGCCTCGTCTGCTCCCACCCCTTTCTGAGACTCAGTTTCCCCACCCGGGCAATGGGGGAAGATGCAGATATGGAGGTTTGCAGTAGGCCTCGTGGGCTCCACATTTTCAGAGGGGATACCCATGGCTGAGAGACATCAGGCTGCTGGCCCAAGGTCGCACAGCCTGGAAGCAGGGCTGCACCCTGCTGTGTTCCCCAGGGGCCATCTCCCCCTTGGCAGGCTCTGGGAAAGTATGGGCCCCTTCCCCGCCGATGGGAGCTGCTGGCCCTTTATGAGAGCCTCGTTTTGGGGCCGCTTGGGGGTTATTAATTGCAGCCTGGGAAACGCGATTAGATTAGCCAGGCTGGGAAGACGCGGGAGGGGGCGGATGCAGCGCACTTCTTATAAATGGCTCCCAGGAGCGGCCAGGCTGAGCTGGCAGTGAGGGGATGGGGTGTCTTGGGCTCCTGAGAGCGCCTGAGCTGTTGAGACAAGGGAGGACTGGGGAGGTATTGTCCACCTGCCCTTTCTCCTGCAGAGAGAGCTCTGTCCAACCCTCACTCCTCTGACTCCCCTCCCGCTGCGGGCACGTCTCTCAAACTGCTGCCTCTGTGTTGGGTCTCAGTGGGAAAAGGGGAGCGTGCCTGTCCTCCACATGCAGCTGGGTTCTCCACATGCAGCCTCCCAGAGTGTTCCACCTGTCTCTTGTGTCCAGTCTGCTAATCACCAGAACCCAATGCAATGTGGACTCATGTTCCTGGAGCATATCTCCAGGGCCAGATGTGCAGAGTTCCTGGGCACCTGTCCCCTCCCGCTGTTCCTCTTCCTGCTGCCTGTAGGCTGGGATGGGGGAAGGGCTGGGGTCCCAGTTGATTGTGGATCTGCCACTTTACCCTTTTCTGTGTGGCTCCTCTCCTTCCCCAGGAGTAGGTGGTCTGTCCTGCAGTCTTCAGGTCGTTTTCCAGGTTAGTTGTGTTTGCTGTAATTGCTTCCTTGGTGTGAGTGTGGGAGGAGGTCTCCGTCTTGCCTTCCAGCTCTCCTGCTCCACAATATTGAGCCAATTCTTCTCACATTTTAGTTAAACATTAGCAGAAATAAGTGTCTCCCTGAAAAAGTGATGCCAGTTATTATTTTTAATTAATAGATGCTATTATTAGAAGTTTTAGATAAACATAAAAATCAGATATGAAAGTTCCCATCCTTTCTGTCACACAATTCCCACAATTATACTTCCTTAGTGGGATTCATATGTCACATGTAATAAACCAATATTGAGAGTCATTAAAGTCCACGATTTATATTAAGGTTCACTCTGTGTTGTATGGTAGCAGGGGTTTTGCCAAGTGCATAGTTATGTATCCACCACTAGTGTCATACAGAATAGCTACACTGCTTTAAAAATCCTGTTTCAACTACTCATCCTCTTCCTGTGCTCTATAAAATCCTAGCAACCACTGATCTTTTTCATCATCTCTACAGTTTTTCTTTCACCAGAATGTAAAATAGTTGGAATCATGAAGTATGTACCTTTTTCAGACTGACTTTCTCACATCTTTACTTAACATTCGTCCATGTCTTTTGTGTGTGTGTGTGTGTGTGGCTTGGTAGCTCACCTATTTTTATTACAGAATAGTAGTCATTGTATGGATGTATCAAAGTTTCTTTATCCAGTCACCTGTTGAAGGACAGCTTGGTTGCTTCTAGTTTTGGTGGTTACAAATAAAAGTTGTTATAAGCTTACTTCCCATTGTCCACCAAAGAAGGTGACCCAGCGGCCGTTCACTGCCATACACTCTCTCCCCATGTCTGTATCACTAATGATTCCCGAGTAATTCCTGAGCAGCATCGCCAACTGGCTGACATTTTCTCTGGGCCCTAGATCTCCCTGAGAGCCAGGACAAGGAGCTTCCTGTGGACGGAGCAGAGGAAGAGTCTCCACTTGATTCTGAGGTAAGCTTGCAGGTCTTTGCCTGAGATAGAAATGTTGCTTTCTTGGTTCCCTTCTTTTTGAGTTTGGTTCAGATACAAAAACATGACAGTGTACATTCTAGATGTTAGATACTGCGTTTTTGGTGTGGTGGAAGGGGAGGTTGTAAACTGTATGGTAGGGGCCCTTTTACTCAAAAAGCATTTTTTTGTCCATGGATTAAGAGTTCTGCAATTGCTGCCTTAATGGACTTGACATATACATCCTCCAGGAAAAGCTCATGCCTTTTTCCATGGGTGTGCTCTATGCTTCTTTTGGGGGTCTTTGACTTACTACTGTTTCTCATTTGGATTGCCGTAGTCGCCAAAGAACCAATGACACAGTACACACATAATGTGATACCACCGTGTTTTCTGTCATTGCAGGTGGCCTCTAGAAGGGGTGGAAACAGTTAAGTATTCTGAGAGTACTCACTTGCTAAGACAGGTGGTGTGCCCTTGCTATCTCCAATATGGAGAACTATGCCGATTCCATTTTCCTGGTAGGAATAAGGATCAGGAGTGTGGTGGTGTGGAAATGGATTGCCCAGGTGAAAAACCATGCCCTTGTTTCTTCAGCACTTGGAGGCAACAGTGTTCCTTTTATGCGGTGTGGGGTTGTGTGCACAAGGCTGGGGGGTGGGGTGTTTTATATGACTCTACATAGTATGATTGTGAATGAGTGGGTGTGTGGGTGAGAGAGAAAGAGAGACAGACAGCGGGATGGGGATTGTCTGTTTCCCCAGGGGATGTGTCCCACCTACACTGAAATTGCCAGCATCAACTTTCTCAAAAAAAAAAAAGTCCCCCCACACTGCACATTTTACAGCCATATTGTCAAGTATGGCCCAATAGCAGTGGTTCAGTCATGCTTGATAACCACCTGCCTCTGTACATTCTAGCCCTGTGTCCATATCAAGCATCCCTCCCTGAGTTATTCTTGAGCAGCACCACCAATGGACTGACAGCTACTCTGTGTCTTTTGAGATATCCCTGTGGAAGTAACCAAGGTGCTTCCTATGCACCAGGCAGAGGAGACCGTGCCTGTTGCCAAGGAAAATTTCCTTGTGTCTGAGGTAGAAATGTTGCTTTCTTGGTGTCTTTCCTTTTGTTAAAAAGCAAAATTCATCCAAGTAAATTTGAAGATCTAATTGACTTCATTAAGCAATTCATGAATTGGGCAGCATCCCTTGTAGCAAGTACATAGATGCTCCCAAGGGCTACGGAAAGGGAGAGGATTTTACAAGCAGGACAAGAAAGTCATAGAGAGAAAAAAAGAGACTACTTCAGATGAGGACACCTTCATCTGGGGTCAAAAGGGTCCTACTGGATGGATTCCTTTGGGGAATGGAGAGGACACATGTGACATTACCATATCGGTGCTGACCAGAAAATTCCTGACTTGACTACATTTTGCAGGGAGGTTGAAACTGCCATCAAGTTCGGTATAAAACTCTGGTTTGGTGACCTGAACTGGCAGAAGTTACACCATGTTTGGCCTGTGTCTTTTTAACACTTTTCAATCAAATTCAGTAGAAAATCTCACAGTGTACATTACAGATGATACATCCAATTTCCTTGGTGGGGAGAGTGTTGGGTGGATGTCTCTTGCCAACTGACACCTGATTCAAGAGGACATTTGCCATGGGTCACACCAAACCTGCTTAGAAATGGTGTGGTTAGGGATCCTTTTCCTCAGCAGCAATTTCTCCTCCTTGGAATTAGAATTTTGTCATTGCCAATCTCAATGGACTTGAGAGACAGCCTCCAGGAAAAACAGCTTTCCACCTGCTGTGGGGGCTTTTGACTCAGCCTTGGTGTCCTATCTGGTTTCCTAAAGTCACCTAGAGAACAAAAGAGCTGTGCAAACCCTGTGTGGGGTGAAATGATTCTCATGGTTTTCTTTTCTGTAATTGCAGATGGCTTCAGGAACAAGGGAAAGTGGTACGTATTCTGAAGTCACTCGCTTGCTGGGGAAAACCCTTGCTGTCTTTAGTTAGTGGAGCCATCTGACTCTGGGATCCCATTGGAATGAGGATTAGAGGTGAAGAAAACAAAAAATAGGATTTTTCCAGGCAGAGAACTATGGTCATGTTTCTAGAAGCAGTGGTATAGTCTCCAGGTAGTGGGTTTGGGTGCATGGAAATGAGGTGTGTCTGTATGTCAGTCGATAAGGTGGGATTCTGAGTGTGTACGTGTGTGTGCTTCTGTTTCCCTAGATTTATATCCCCCTGAGCAACACAGTTACCAGTATGAACTTTCCCAATAACAAAAAAGTCCCATCACCTTGCTTCATGATGTTTGTCAAAATGTATAAAACTGTAAGATTTCAATATGTGTAGTTCATTATATGCCAGATATACCTCAAGTAATCTGAAAAAACAAACAAAAAATCCCATCCCCACCCAGGAAAGTGTTGGCAGGACTTTCAAAAGAAAACAAATTGTGTTTTGGAATCGCCATGACTCGGTCAATAACAACTTCATTTAATAATAAATCTCACCACTGTGTAGGCTGTTTAATTCTCCTCAAGGCAGTTTGAGTGATGGCAGTTAAAGACAAGCAGCCATAGTGGTATTTAATTGGCCTGTGGGAAATGGTGAAATAGGGTCTTGGTTTCCTCTGAAGGCCTTTGCCTGGAAATAAGTCAAGAGGAATGCTTTAAGTCAGTAGAAATGTAAAACAAGGTAACTTACGGTTTTCGTTTCCTTTTGAATAATGACTCCTGTGTGAAGTACATTGTAGTTTAGTAGAATTTCATTGTCCCGTAAGTGTTCACCACATGGAGAGAACATCTCCATCGTCCCAGAATGCTCACTGAGTATTTCCTGTGAACCTGCCTCAGCGCTGTCCATTGAACTCATCCAATCTAAAGCATGCCCATTACAGCTCGACCTTTGGGATGATAGGTGTGCAGGTGAAAGCGAGGATACAGTAGAAACGGGCCAAGTGGCAAGTTGAAGGGGGATCCTCGCTCTCATTTAAAGCTTTGCATCTGTGATCAATGTCTTGTTGAAGGGCTCTGTTCCCACGGAGCCCAGGGAAGGTCTGAGGACCCAGGGAGAAAGCAGGGCGATACTGTGAGCCGGTGTGGTCTCACAGGAGGAGGAAGAGTGGGAGCCCCTCTCTCTAACAATCTTCCTGTTTGCGTTTGTGTCTTTAAAGATTGCATTCTGGAGTGCATCCACAGGTACAGCAGTGACGATGAGGACTCCTCAGGTAGGGAACTACCTTGGGCCAGAGCCAACGGAGGGAAGTTACACCTGCTGCTCTGGAGAGTGGGGGTGGGAAGCATGACATCAAAAAGGCAAAGGAAACACGTGTGGAGGATCATTTTGTTCTCGTATTTTAATGACACAATAGGAAGGGCTACGATGTCTCTGGATCTTGAGAGTGCTGTATGTGCAATCAGCTTTTCTTGCTTTCCTAATTAAAGATAATTTTTCCTAGACCAAGTCTTGTTGGCTTTGCCTCTGCAGAGCACCAAAGCTTTTTGGTCCTGGGGTGGCATCTGCTGGGAACTGAGCAGGAGGCTATTGGGTTGGATGTTCCTCTGTGATGGAGGCAATCTGGGGGGGACACAGCTCTGTCACTTGCACTTGAGCCTGGAGACAAGTTCTCCTGTGGGTGCCAGGAGGGTGGGAAACGGAACCTTCCCCTGTACTTTCAGGGCCCAGTGGGCACCTTCCTGTCCTGTCCTCATGTTCCTCATCAAAAGAGTGCTCCCAGGGCTGGTGGCAGAAACATTTCCTCTCAGCCTCCTGCATGTGCTCCCAGATCCTCATGGAGAAGTCAGGTAGAAGCACATCCTGGGCGTGTTTCTCCTCTCCTGCCCCAAATTCCACCCTACACCTGCTTCCCTGGGAGAGATGCACTTGCCCTGGGGGCCCCCAGGGCAGCAGGGATGCTAAAGGGCTTTGGGAAGGGGCTGCCAGGTGGCACCCACACCTGCTCTCACAGCCCCACTGACCTGGCTTCAGGTGACCAGGCCCAGGACAGAGCCTGGGGCAGCAGGGCAGGGGGGCCACTGCTCCTCTTAGATCTCACCACTCTGGCCACACAGTGCCACCTTGCCTCCAGACCCCAGCCATACCCTTCATCCTGTGACCTTCCCTCAGACCTCCAGAGGCTCCTCCCTCCA